GAGAGGGAGAGGGAGAGGGAGAGGGAGAGGGAGAGGGAGAGGGAGGAGAGGGGAGAAGAGCCCAATTCAGCTCATAGGTGACATTACTTAAATAAAAACTCCCACTGAGTCCACTGAGTAGGATTGTCTGTCTTTCAAAGTGTAATAGTTAAGCTGGGCGGTGGTGGCGCACGCCTTTAATCCCAGCACTCGGGAGGCAGAGGCAGGTGGATCTTTGTGAGTTCGAGGCCAGCCTGGGCTACCAAGTGAGTTCCAAGAAAGGCGCAAAGCTACACAGAGAAACCCTGTCTCAAAAAACAAAAACAAAACAAAACAACAACAAAAAAAAAAGTGTAATAGTTAAAGCAGTTGAAACTTAAAATTCATAGGAATTATCCACTACAGCCTCATAAAAATAAAAAATTTGAAAATTATTCAAACTCTAATTGCAAACAAATTTCATACTTTTCAACTGAACAAAAAAAAAACTGGTATGTGTCAAAATCTAAGAGAGAGAAGAAAAGAAAAAGACAACACCTTTACTAAGGTTTTTATGAAATGGATCGATCTTTCTTAAAACTGGACTTGGAAACTAAGTCATTTCCGTTTCTTAAAGTGCCATTTTCAAAATGGCCACAAGAGGACAGCACAACAACAGTCCACTTAAAAGAGAAAGCCTGTGGGTTCTCTAAGAGCCTCCATTTCAGCACACTGGTGTTTATTTTCCTAACTTACAAAATGGCTGAAGAAGTACTGACTCCTGGACTGAACTTCTTGGTTACTGCAGGTAAATGTAAAAGCTGAAAGACCGCAAGGTAAGTCTATACCGAAACTCCACAAAGTGGTATCCACACAAAGTTTGCATTATAGACATTTAAAGTGTCAAAAATATGCAAAAAGCCTAATCCTTACATTAATCCTATCAAGACAGAATCCTAATGTGTTAAGGATGTCTGAATTACAGAATCTGCACTATCTACTCCTGTGTGGTATTGCTGACCTTGCATTGCACATATTTTTCAATCAAACACATTATCAAATCAACCAAGCTGCCATATGACCACTCTTTCTAGGCCATGGCTAGATAGGTGTCTTAAAGTAAATGGAAAGGGAAAGATACTTCAGAGTTCTCATTGACAAAGAATATATATATATAACAACTCTTAAGCTTTGTTTTGTTTTTTGTTGTTGTTGGGTTTTTTGTTTTGTTTTGTTTTTGTTTTTGTTTTTGTTTTTCAAGACAGGGTTTCTCTGTGTAGCTTTGCGCTTTCCTGGATATCACTCTGTAGACCAGGCTGGCCTCGAACTCACAGAGATCCACCTGGCTCTGCCTCCCAAGTGCTGGAATTAAAGGCATGCTCCACCACTGCCCGGCTTAAGCTTTGTTTTTAAGATCTTTTATGCTTATAAGTTCAAGTCTTCAGATTCTGAATAAGTTATAGTATAAACATGGCTAAGCCAAGTAAATTAGAAAAACAAAGTTCAATGTATACATTAACAAAAAATATACAACATATGAATTCTGGCAATTCAAAAATCCAGTAGGAAATTCAGCAAAAACAACAAACACACAACCACAAAAAAGAAACTGAAATGGCCAATAAACTTAATAAGATATAACAAGCAGGGCAGTGGTGGCACAGGCCTTTAATTAATCCCAGCACTCAGGAAGCAGAAGCAGGAGGATCTCTGTGAAGTCGAGGCCAGCCTGGTCTACAGAGTGAGTTCCAGAACAGCCAGAACTGTTACATTGAGAAGCCCTGTCTCGGAAAAAAACAAACCATACCCCACCCCCAAAAAATCACATACAAATCCTGCAAACCAGTATGTAAGTATGTTACCTAAATATCAAAGTTGGGCAACAGCCAAACACGAAATTATTCCATGCTAGAAGAAAAAAAAACCCTACATATATATCTATGTAATTCACAAGATGTGAAGCATCCATACTATTCATACTAATCTGAACAGGATTGGGTCTTAATATATCTGTAAAGTGACAAATTTCAAAACTATAAACTTCAAAACAAAACTATACAAACTACAAATACTTTTTATGCCAAGTGAGCACAAAAGTGACAGCAGTAAGCCAGTGCCTTTAATCCCAGCACTCGGGAGGCAGAGCCAGGCGGATCTCTGGGAGTTCGAGGCCAGCCTGGGCTACAGAGTGAGCTCCAGGACAGGCACCAAAGCTACACGGAGAAATCCTGCCTTGAAAAGCCAGAAGAAGAAGAAAAGCAAACCAGCGACAGGGGTAGAAGGGTATGATGGGCTGGAGCTATGTCTTAACTCTTACAAAAACTTACTCTTTCCGCCTCTCGTTACTTCATAAGTTTTCAAAGGTTTATTTTGCTTTTGAGAAAAGGTCTCACTATGAAGCTCTGGCTAGCCTGAAACTTGTAGACCAAACTAGAACTCAGAGATCCCCAAGTGCTGGAGCTAAAAGTATACCACTATAGTCAGGCAAGGTTTCTTTTTACCATATAAACTTGATCCCTTCCTAGGATTCAGTTCTTCTGGAAGTTTCCTTAACAATGACACCATAGACTCTTTCTTGGCCAAGCTAGACAGGAATAATTATGGAGAAACCTGGTTAAGGCCTCTCCCCTTATGTCAGGTCAGGAATTCCAATGGAGCTAACACTACTGTAAAGGCAAATCTGCCTATATGAGCTCCACTGCTTTACTGAATTCTGACGTCTTATTTTCTCCAATCTCAACAAGAACAAGACAATAAACTAAACCCCTTTCCATCCCCACGTACCTCGTTTTTGTTTTTGACACGGGGTTTCTTGACATAACCCTGGCTGGCTGGCTGTCCTGCAACTCTGTAAGTAGACCAGGCTGGCCTTGAACTCACAAAAATCTAACTGCCTCTGCTGGGACTAAATGTGTGCACCACTATGCCAGGCTGTTTACAGCAACATCTTTTTGTTTTGTTTTGGTTTGGTTTTAGAGACAGAGTTCCTCTGGGTAACAGCCCTGGCTGTCTTGGAACTTGCTCTATAGACCATGCTGGCTTTGAACTCAGAGATTCATTTGCCCACCTCTGCTTTCCAAGTGCTGGGGTTAAAGGCATGCATCACCAAGCCCATCTTACAGCAGCATCTTAATTCCTCTGCAACCCCAGTGCTCTAGGCTTCCTTCCACTTCATCAGATGTAATCCCACCCAACGCAAATCAGAAACCACCCCCACCATCTTACTTCCCAAAAAAAGAAAGGTCCCTCAGCAGAGGATTTCAGCAGAAGAGAAAGGGGGAAGTAAAAGGCCAGTGGAGGGTGAAAACAACTGAATCCCCTATGTGCATGCATGAAACTGTCAAAGAATTGAAGAGTTTCTTTAGCAGGCCTTCAAGACATAACTCCAGAAGCCACCAAAATCAGTATTTATGGCTACAAAAACCTTAATTTCAACTCCCTTGAGGAACCCAAACTCACAATTTACTTCCCTGAGTGCCCCTTTATTAACAGCTGTGCTTAAATTGTACATTAAAAATATATACTGGGCTAATATAGCAAATCTCTATTTTCTATCTATCAACCTGAAATGAAATTCTTTTCTGTGGTGAAGCAGTGAGTCCCGCTTTAACTGAAAAACATTTTTCAAGGCAGTGGCAGCAGAGAAACTGCATGTGTCTGCTCCCCCTTCCACTGACATCTATCTCACTGTTAATCTATGAAAGGCCAAGGATTTGGACCGGGCTACTATACCAGTCAACAAGAAAACCAAACCAAAATGGAGTCACTCACGCTAAACTTGTAAATTGTCTCCCTTACCTTCAGGGCAATTTACATTGGCACAATCAAATTCTCTCTCGAACTGCCCTGCTTTTTGTTTCCTGTTTTAACAGACTGCCCCTAAAACTGCTCCTCCACACCTTCCTACTTACTGATGGAAAGCTGCTAGCCTCGATCTTCAAATGTTTGTTAAAAACTGTCATTTCATCCCAGCACTCGGGAGGCAGAGCCAGGCAGATCTCTGTGAGTTTGAGGCCAGCCTGGTCTCCAAAGCGAGTTCCAGGAAAGGCGCAAAGCTACACAGAGAAACCCTGTCTTGAGAATAAAAACCTGTCATTTCATTTTCACTTGAAAGAAAACTACTCAAAATGGCACTTACATTTTCATGGAATAGCAAAGCTAAATCCCAACTGTGTTCTCAAATTAAGGCAGCCAGTGGTCTGCAGTTTACAGCTCAGTGGCAGAGGGCTTCCCAGCATTCATAAGGCCCTCTAGGTTCAACACCCTGTATGGGTGAGAGTAACAGACCTGGTGGTTTAGGCCTAGAAGCCTAGCTATTACTGAGGCTAGGGCAGCAAGGATACCTAGAATTGAAAAAGAAAACCATATAACTAGCTGTTTCTGAAATTCTCATCTGGGACTAGGCAGAAGTCACCTTAAGCTTTTTAACATTCTCACCATCTTAAATGGTTTACCAAGTACCACAAAATTGGCCTCCAGCAGATAGGGGTGTGAATGGCATCAAAGAGGCTGGATATGGTCTACATGGAGGATCATATGCATAGTTCATTAGGATCTGGCAACAGTTACATACTAAGACAAAAAGAAAGCTTTCCACTCAGATTAAAAAAAAAACAAGACCAACCACCTAGCTGAAGAGAAGCTACAAGGGACACCTCCCTGAATTCATGAACAAGGTTCTAACCAACCATCAAAGGGGACATTTACATTCTGAACACTAAGAATAAAGAACTAGTTTGGCCAGGAGTTCCCTTTA